TTTGATATATAAGGTAGTGATTTATTATTTATACAAAGCAATAATAATATAAATATTATAATAGTTTTAGTTACTTGTTATTGAGAAATCTTATAATATTTTATACAAAAATAAAATAAAATATACAACACTCCAAAGTTAATTCAGTAAAAACTTTCTAAAATATGATTTCCACCCAGATATATATGGTTTAATTGTGATTGATAATTTATTAAACAGTTAGTTTGTAAAGACCAATTTAAACCAATCATAACCGCAGGTGAATATGTAATGTGTTTTATCAATATACAGTATCTATCATACATTGTTCACTTCAATTCACTTTATTTAAAAATAATTTCAAATAATCACAATTTTCAATCATAATATACCACAATAAAATAATTTAGTTTTATAATTTAGTATTAAATAATATTTTATTACAATTACCACTTTATTGTTTAAATGATGAGCTTAAAGAAGTATTGAATATTTAAAATAATGTGCCAGAATTTTTATTGAATTTAAAATTTATACATAGATAGATACATAGAGACAAAAACTATTTATACCACTATACCACTGTAATTTAAAGTAATTATAGGATATATAGTAACATAATTGCTATTAAATAAATTGCAATAAATGTAAGCAATAATTACAAAATTTCAATTTAATGGGTGTGTGATAATGATCATTAATGATGTGCATAAGACAATTATCAAGATTTATGACCATGATTTCAAGTGCACAGGTTCAAGTGCATTTAAAGTATATAAAAGTATATTCTTAGTATGATCTAGCATATTAAATATTTCTATCTACAAAAATAATGGGATTCCTAAAGAGCCCGATAGACTTATCCAAATGGGATCGATATGTATATACGGCTATTTTGTTTGGAAGTGGCATTTCCTATGTATGTATTAATTATAAAAATATGAAATTATCAAATTATTATCAAAGTATGTATTATTAACCGTTTCATCGGCAGTAATACCCCTTTCCCGCACCTATGGGTGCTGGACTCTTATTTGCGTTAACCTTCTCCTTGTATGCCATATATGAGGCGGTGTTCATGAAGTTGGTGTCACTGAACAGTACTCACCGCTCAGACTGTCGGCTAAAAGTGCAACCAATATATACTCGACATCCATAGCCATCTACTCGGCCGGACTCGTCCTGAATATATTCTATCCGTACAAGTAATACAATATACTATAGTATACAATGAAAAGGTATTTTCATAATCAAAACTTATTTTATTGAATGTAGGTTTCAATTGAAAACAATATTAAGCGCACATATTATGGTTGTGTTTACGGGTACAGTATTATTGATTCCGGGCCGGTATTCAATGGTATGCCTATGGGTGGCCAGTATTTGCACGTGTCGGGGCTTTTGAGCCATGTATGCCGGGATCGTGGCGTTCACTGAACTACACATGGGATTCACTAATAAACTGAGTCCACATTCAGGCTACTCAAAGGATTATTAACCCTGGTCACACCGTTTATTGTGGGAGATTATATTGAGGATTATTCCGTGATATTCATAATTATGGAATTTGTTTACTTGTCACTTTTTATCACCTTGTTTATTATAATTAATTTATTGATTGTTTACTATTCTCATAAGAAAAATGCAAAAAACGTTACTTTTATCAGTAATCAATAGTTGGATAATAAATAAATAAATTTCTAAATTAATATTTTATTACTTAATATTTAAGTTTTAATACTGTACTACGGTATACTGTATCTATAGCTCATAGACTATGGGGTTGTAAAATAAACTGTACAAGATTAAATACGAGACATTTGTTGCTTGTAATTAATTATAAAAATATGTATAAAACAAATAAAAGTATCTAATTTTTTTAATACGCAGGTAAATTTATATTACATAATACGTGATACAATATTTATAATACGCGGTTAACAATAAAATATTTGATAATAAATTAAAACAATATATTGAATACAAAATTCAAATATTAGTATTACTAAGAGAACAAT